CTCTCTCTCTCTCTCTCTCTCTCTCTCTCTCTCTCTCTCTCTCTCTCTCTCTCTCGCTCTCACGCCCCCTTGTCTTGTGTGCGTTGTGTTTGTGTGTTGTGTGTTCCGTGTTACGTGCTTGTGGTCCCGTATCCATGACAGGGCGCGGCGGAAGGCGCGGGGCTGGGAAACGCTTTCCTGTCTCACATCAGGGCGGTGGACGCCATCTTCATGATGCTGCGAGCGTTCGAGAACGCGGATATTACGCACGTGGAGGGGGACGTCAACCCCGTCCGTGACATCGAGATCATCAACGAGGAGCTGCTTCTCAAGGTGTTGATTGTTGTTGGTGGTGGTGTTGATTTTCCGTAGGGCCATGCGTATGACAGGGATGATTCCATATAGGATGTCCCACCCGCCCTTCTCCTCAAGGTCTTGGCTATCGTTATTGTTGGTGCCGGTTCTCCGTAGGGCCGTGCCTACTGTATGATGGGGATGATCGATCCACACACAGAATAGCCCACCCACCTTACTGCTACAGGTGTTCGTTGTTTTGGTTGTTAATTTCGGTAGGGCCATGCTCATGGCAGGGATAGTCCATATTAGATGTCCCGACCCGCAAGAAAACAAATCTGCTCGTGTGTGCATGGACTCCGCAAGTGTTCTTCTCTTCGTTTTTCACAAGGCCTCTTTGCTATGGTTATAGTACAGATTTGGTGTGTAGTATCAAGAAGAAGAAAAAACAAGTCCTGTCGACATCTTTCGTCGTCTTTGAGTGTGCCCATTGCATGGACGCCTGCGGTTTGCCGATACCGTGCTGAGGCAATCACTCTGGTGATTCCTCCCGTTTCCAACCCGACCACGCCCCCCTCCCCGGTCTCTCCCGCGCTCCCTGTCTCTCTCTTCTCTCTCCCTCGAAATCCCCATCCGCTTGCCTTCGGCGATCATTTCCTGTTTGTTTTTTCTTTGTTTTGTCTTCGTTGTCAGGACATTGAGCTGCTGACCAACGCGGTGGAGAAAGAGCGAAAGAACGTCGAGCGCGGGGTGGGGGGGCGCGAGCGCAAGCAGGTAGGTGGCTGAAAGGGGCGATGAGCCAACTTTTCGGGTTCCCGTCAAGTGATAGTGCTGATCAACCTCTGCACAGCTGTGGGTTCCCCTGCAGGCTTGTAGTCGACTGGGTGAATGGCAAAAAAATTCCCTTCGAGATATCCTCCCTCAGGGCAGTTTGCCTTCTTCGGACACGTGTCGTCGTGGTTTCGCTGAGAGTAGTTTGCTGTCTTTCGGACACCTACCGTCCACCCCTGGAGATCCATAACCCTTTTTGTGTTTGTTCCAGTTTTGTGGAGAAAAACATGACGCTGTCTAAAGTCCAACCGGGGACGTCACCCCTCTCGTTGTGTTCATCCTGCCAGCATTCCCGTGCCAGCCCGGGGGCGTAGTCGGCCGTGGCACACCACTCTGCGCGGGGCGGTTGATGTTGAGTGAGCTACCTATCTCGATGCTCAACAAGCTTACTCTCGCGCTCGAACGCCTTCGATGGTGTTACCAGTATGTTTTCACGTTGCAATCGGGAATGCATGTAGGCGGCAGAGGGAGTGCCAGAGATACGCGAGCGTTGTCCGGTCCGCTCGGTGGCGTGCGGGGTTCTCTTTGTACCAGGGATCGTGCGTGCTTTTTCGTTACAGCACTCTTGGATTGCTGCGTTTTCTGCCTCCACAACGTCCCCCCCCCCCCCCTGTATGGATGGCTTACTGTCCCATCGTCTCTATCTCTCCACCGCCAACAACGACGACAACCAACACCAACACGACGAATGAAAAAACAAACCAACCAGGAGTGGGAGTCCCAGGTGAAGGTGCTGGACTGGCTCAACGAGCACAGACTTCCGGTGAGGTTCGGCACCTGGACGGCGCACGACGTGGAGGTGCTCAACAAGTTCCAGCTCTTGACCGCGAAGGAGGTGGTGTACCTGGTGAACCTCTCCAAGCGGGACTACCTGCGGAAGGCCAACAAGTGGCTGCCGAAGATCCAGGCGAAGGTGGAGGAGCTGGGTGGGGGGCAGATGATCCCCTTCAGCGTGGAGTTCGAGCAGGAGGTGAGTTTTTTCTCTCGTTGATTGATTCTGCTCGTCGTCGTTGTTGTTGTTGTTGTTGTTGTTGTTGTTGCTGCTGCTGCTGTTGCTAGTGCTGTTACTGGTGCTGCTCCCTCTGCTTCTGTCGTTGATGTTGGTGCTATGTTGTTGCTGTTGTTTTTGTTGTCTTTTCTAAGCTTTTCGGCCGTACGGCGGTGCTTCTTTTGTTGCCGTGTCGCAGCAGAGGCTGGGCGCCGTGAAGTCGTTCTGATGTTTTGATGGTGCATTCACGGATAGGGAAAGCAAAAACACCAGCCAGTATATCCACAATAAGCAATCACGATTTTTTCCCCTGACTTTGACTCACGACTGACGTGCCGCTGCCGACGCCGACGCCGCCGACGCCGACTGCGGTTTATGCAGTGGATGGATGAAGAACTCGCGGGCACGCTAGACGCCTACAAGGAGGCAAACCCCACGCACAAGACGGCCATGATGCGCATCCTGAAGGCAGGCTACCACGCGCTTCACTTGATCCACTACTTCACCTCGGGGGCGGATGAGGTTCGAGGTTGGACGATCAAGGACGGCTGGCTGGCGCCGCAAGCCGCGGGTGAGTGGCTATGGGGGGCGAAAGGTACCAAGTGCGGGGACTCTTGGGGGAAGGCGGAGGGGTAGCACCAGCTGCGAGGACGACATGTATGCGGTAGGGGGTTGACCGATAGACCTCGGCGACTCATTATAAAAGATGACTGATGATGACATGATCCGCGTTGTTTGTTGGTAGCCCGAAGTTTCCTCCCCTCCTCCTCTCTCCCCTATTCACCCATCCAACTCTCTCACCTTCCCCTCCCTCTCTCTCTCCTTATCCAACCCTCCCGCCTCCGATTCCGTGGCCTTTCTGTCGCAAGGGGTGATCCACACTGATTTCGAGAAGGGGTTCATCTGCGCGGAGGTGATGACCTTCGAGGACCTGAAGGAGTTGGGGGACGAGGAGGCGGTAAAGAAGGCGGGGAAGCTCCGGCAACAGGGCAAGAAGTATGTCGTCCAGGATGCGGACGTCATTTTCTTCAAGGTGTGCGTTTGTTTTCGTATCAAATAGGATCGACCGCGCTAGCCTATTGACCTGTGAAAATTACAGTTTCAGTGCGGTTTGAAAAAAAAAAACGAAGTGCTTCTGAAGGCCACGATCTGGGACCCTGTGAGTGAGGGAGGTCATACTCTCCGGATTAAAGACAGGTGCCACAGCAACAACAGAAGGAAACTGCACGTGTTTATCATGTGCGTGTGTTTATTTTGGTAGTAGTCGCTGCTTGAGGTGCTTGCTCTTTGCAGCTCGTGTACGTATCACATGTTAACCTTCAAAGCGAGAATGCGTAGGCTGTACACACGTTTTGATGACTGGAACAGCAAGGTAAAAGGCCAACCATTGCAGAGATACACCAGATGTGGCGGTGGACCTAGCTTCGCTGTTGATTGTTTGTTCTTCGTACTGGCGTGTGCGGTAGTCCTCACACAGTCCGTATGTAGACCCTCCGTAGCCCCTCGGTGTGCATCTCGACGACACAACGCCTGGACGGACCACCCTGCACAGGATGGTAGCAGCCCATCAGTTACTCGGTTCATGTTTGCTTCATTCGTGTTTGTCGAGGAGGTGACGGCGAATCGCAAGAGTTGAACCCCCCCCCCCTTTTTTTGACCCACACGTCACCGATTTTCGAGTGCTTCGCCCACGCTGCAATATTCGAGTGATTTGTATCAAGTCTTATGATATCGAGGTGCAACTCACGGCGAACCTTCTGGTAGTTTGCCCCGTATCCCCTCCCATGGTGTCTATATGCGCACTGTTGATTTCCATCGAACAGGGGCGCTTGTGTTCGTCAGAGGTGTGTTGCGCGTGCGAGAAGCGTGCGGTTTGCTCACGAAACGTCGGTCCTTAGTTCGGGACATGTTTGTGCTCAGTTCTCGGAGAAACGTCAAATACGACCACACGGAAGCGCGTTGGAGCACCAAACGATCCGAAGGACTGACTCCATGAAGTCGGTAGTCCTTGAAGCTCCTGGCTCTCCCATCTCACCCCGCCGCTGTCGTCGCCGCCCGCTCTCTCTGCTTGGCCTTTTACAGTTCAACAACTAGGAACTCTTCGAAGTCTTACAGCCGGGAGTACACCATGACTACAATAGGGCGGCCGGATAGGTGGTAGGGGGGTGGGCAGCGTCATCGCTCCGTATCGGAACAAGTTCTGAAGCTGCATAGCGGTAGCAGGCGTTTGCGGCATGGTTGTGCTCTGAGATCTCTGTAGCCGAGTGTAGGACGTGGATGGCGATGGAAATTCGGCGCTCGTTAGCCGCGCAACGGTTACAGTTTGTTGCGGTTGACCTTCGTGGCTTCGGTGTTTGCTGGACTCTTCCCTGCTGCTCGTTGCCTTGCTGCCGTTGGTGGTGGTGGCGCTGCTGCTGCTGCTGCTGCTGCTGCTGCTGCTGCTGCTGGTGTGATCTAAGCCCCCTGCTTGCCGGAAGAGGTATCTGTCTCCAGGAACGGTTGGGATAGATCCACCAACCCCTTGGTTTTCGTGACGGCGTGTTTCGTAGCCTGCCCTGGCTAGGGCAGCTCCGCTTTGGCAGGTATCGAGGTTACGCCAGTACTGCTGCTGCAGAGTTTCCGGGTACCAACTGCAGGCCGTACACCTACGGTTGTCGTTTCGATGTTCCGCCTGTGCTCGGCGGGTGGACGGGCGGTTCGAGGTAATCCTAAATGTCCGACCCTACCCCTCCCCCCTTTAAAGGTCGTCCGTTTCCTTCTTTTTTTTTAAAGATTTTGCCATATTCTATGTCCCACCTGGATCAAGCCTAGGTTTGAGAACGGGAGAGAATCCATCCATCCACTGGCCCCCTGGTGTCTGTAAAATTGCGCGAATAGAAGCAATGTTTTGTTGTATGGGCTTTGACGGGGACGGAAAGCAATAGGCGCGTTTCCATCCACAGGTAGCGCTTGGAAACGCAGCCCATGCTTGGCACGCGCCTGGAGGGGGAAGCGACCGTCACGTGCACAGGAGCAGCACTCACGCATAAAACTTCCTGCAAAGTCTTGAGCCATAGGGGACGACGGTCGCACTGAGTTGTTGGTTCTCTACAGCAGTAAAGCAGGAACGAAAGTGTTGCGTTATTAAGTGTCTGCTTGAACCTGACTATTGCATCTCGTAGGGGGCAAGTTTTGCGTTTTCTGAATCACAGAGGGTTGCGATGGCAGGAGGGATGTGCTGTAGCGCATCGGTGTCGATGTGAATGGTAACGGTTCTTAAAAATGGTTATCTTTTCGGCTTGCGGATTCACTTCCTTCGCGTGTGGAAGCGACTACGGTAAACGTGTGTGTACGTTGTCCCGTTTATTGTTTCTTTCCTTTTTTTCGTGTTTGCCCGGGGTAGCTCCGACCTTGTCGGAGGCCCGCTCCCGCTGTGCTCCCCCCCGCCGTAAGAGATTCTGGCTGACAGCAAAAGGCCGTGCGAGAACGGGGGGCGGAAACAAGAAAAAAGAACAAAAAAACGACGCAACATCCAAGTCGAATCTTGTCGGATGAGACACTGGCAGGTCTTGCTTGGTTTGTGCAAAAGAAGGGAGCAGAAGAACCGACGCGAATTCGTGTCGACCCTTGCTTTTGGATGAGGCTCGCAGGTCTTTCGTGTACATGCGAGGTCCTGAAAGGTTCCACGATCTGTGGATCGAGAAATGAAGCGTGAATTCCCAACTGTTGGTGCGATGCCAGCTGGAGAGCTTGGTCCTTCTGACTTTGAAAACCGGCAAATTCATTCGCGATCTCAGGCCGAACTCGCCAGCATATTCAGGTTGCTGCAGGCACCTGCCCCGCTCAGTCCCGGCTGTTGTCAGGCACTGAACTGGGCAAACCTGTGTGCCTACGCCACACATATGTACGCCTTGCAATGCATTCGGTGGTGAACGGTTGGCGACGGTCAAAACAGGACTTGAATGATGATCTAGATGCCAAGGGAACTTTGACTGCAGCGAGTAACAGGCAGTCACCGTGTAGTCAAAAGCTTGTTGGCCTTCGACAACATTAAATCATCTCCCGTCGATTCACGCTCGAACAATCAATCGAACGAAAACATTCATTTTTCGGAAGAAAAATCAACGCCCCCCCCCCCCCCCCCCCCCCCCCCCCCCCCCCCCCCCCCCCCCCCCCCCCCCCNCCCCCCCCCCCCCCCCCACCCAAATCCGAACCCTCTGCGAACTTAACGCAAGATCCCCGTTGTGCGGTTCGTACCAAACCTACGCCCCACTCATGCTGTCGTTGGTTGCCGGTACAAGCCCAAACGGACAACGAAGGACGAAGCCCAACACTCTGCAGATATTACTCCACATCAAGCAACCGACGCTACGGAACACCAACCAGAGGGAGAAACACAAGAAAGACGAGCATGGAACAAAGACTGAGAGCATATTAGGGACAGTGCGGATTCCTCCTTTTTATCAACATTTTGCGTGAAGAGAAGACATCTACTTTCTGACAAGACATTATGTATGAACATATCTCACGTTCCCCCCCCCCCCCTTCAGAAGTNCCCCCCCCTCCTTCAGAAGTCGCCGACCTCCGTTACCCTCTCCCACCTCTTCAAAGGTGTTGAACGCGCCAAACACGTGAAGGAATTGATATTTATTTGACGCCTTGAGGGTCCGATAGTTTGAAAAACAACTTCAACCCGATGCTACACACTACATCCTACCATGCAGCCCCTTTGGATTCGCAGGTATCTTGTAGAGTGGTCGTGGCGGGTTCTGTGCCCAATGACATTTACGCGCTGGCATCAGGCAAACCCGCACCTCACTGTTCCCCCACTGTCCCGCGCTGGCTTTGTCCGAAAACAACAACAGGCTCAGCGTTTCGCAAGGCTGCCGGGCCGGCCAAAGCGCACCCAAGCCAAACAAACACGTGAGCAAATGCGTAAGGTAGTACATGGAGCACGTACCATGCTCAGGACACACACGCCCGCGGAATCAGTGCAGTAACGACACGGGATATTTGGTGAAAAAATATAAACAATAATACACAGAGAGAGAACGTGCCAACTGCGAGCGGACACGTACTGTTGTAGTACGTTCGAGGCAATCGATACAAAAGACAACCAAAAGCGACGACGCTCACTTGTCGACTCCTTAGATACCCACCACCTCCGCCCCCCCGCCCCCTTCGACTCTCGCAGGTAACGCTGTCCACTCCCAAATACGCGCATGTATGTAGAACAAAAGCCCGCTAATCTTGCCTGGGACAACAAGCCACCGAACGAACCGGACTCGGCAGCGCCGCCGGTTTTGCGAGAAATCGGCCAAACGAGCTGGAGGCTTGTCCATGAGATGCTCCGTTCTGCGCAGGGATTCGCCAAACCCCGACCATAAATACAAACCCTGCAACTTTAATACAACCCAAAACCAGCACCGATCGTCCAACTGCGCGCTCATATGTATAAGATACCTGCCCCTTGCCTGAGGGGGCGAGAAAAACGCTGCTCGCAGTTGGTGACACCGAGTAATCTCGGCTTGGAATGACTGTACGACTCAACGATTCTTTTGTGTACACAACAGAAGCCTTCCTCCTCTCCTACTTCGTCCCCGGTGTTTGGATGCTGCTGGTCGTCTCTCGCGAGAAAGGAGAAAGTACACGCCCGAGCTCACCACAGGCCGACCGAGGTCGTCGTCGTCTTTCATCCCTCCCCTGGCCGCCTTTTTCGCCCCCTCGCGTTTCTTTTGGACATTTCTCCTCACATGGCGGGAAATGGGTGGGCTGGATCATGATGCTACACCACGACGACATGAAAACAGGGTTACCACCCTGAAAATCCCCCCGCCCCCCGACGTGTTTCGCTCACGCGGTACCCATGGCCTGAACTCCTGAGTCTGACTCGCAGACCCCCGATGACATGTGGCTGCCCGGCCACGCACAAACAACTCGGGGGTTATCGTCTTCAGCTGACGTGGCAGCCCATCTACGGTGCCAACACACAGACAGGCAACAGCAGTGAACCACGTCGGACACAAGGGCAACGAGGGGGGGGGGGGGGCT